AAGAAAGAAAGAAAGAAAGAAAGAAAGAAAGAAAGAAAGAAAGAAAGGGAAAAGCTTACACAGTTCCAGTTTTGAATAGCTTGGTGTTCAAGAAAAACATTCTGAAAGCCAGTCTGATCTAACGGTTAAAGCACCAGGCTAGAAATGGGAGTCTATGAGATCTAGTCAGCTGGGTGCCATTGAACCAGTCACTTTCTCTGAGCCATAGAAGAAAGTAATGACAAGGCACTTCTGAAGAACTTGCTAAGAAAACTTCATGGACTTGTTCAGGCAGTTGTCAGGAGTCAACACCACCTCCTGTCAACTGCTACACCCACTCCCACAGAGAGAGCAGGGGAGAGAGGGAGGGAGGGAGGGAGGGAGAGAGAGATTTGAATAGAAGTTGCATTCTGGAAGACACTTCTGAAGTGGAACTGTATGGAGTAGAACAGATGGTGGGGTTAAGACTGCTTGGCAATGTATCCTATATGGTATTTTAAGCACTATCCTTATTTGCCTGTTCATTTCCACTCTCATTTTAAGGTAGAACAAGAGAAAACAGAAACAGACAATGGCAAACAGCTTCTAGAGTACTGTCACAAGTGGTCAACATTGCTATTTTTGATTGTTTCAGAGGATACCTTTCTTTATAATATGTGCTTGTCGCAGAGTTTACTAACAATGACAAACTGTATTGAGAGACAACATTATTGTCTTTAAAAAAACATATAAAAAAGATAAATCATAATACATTTTCATGCCTTAGGAAAAGCACTCTGCATTCAGAATTTCCTACATTTATTTACTTCTTCAGTGAACTTAATACCACTATTATCCTTTTTCTCATTTATACAAGAAAACAATACAAGATTAGATATACTGACAGGTTTTTATCCATCAAACTCTCTTTCTTATGTTGTTTTAACAATGCACAGAACTGCATTTGTATAGAACAAAAAACTTGTGTATTTCTACAAATGTCTTTTGTAGGAGGGCAGCAGTGTTTAATACATCCCTGGGCTTAGGTAATGCAAAGGGTGATTGGAAAAGCAAATGAAAGTGAAATGTTGAAAATCACAGAGATGAAAACTTTACTTTTGTAAAAACTAAAAAAAAAATACTGAAAAGTCTAAAAAATACTACA